AGGAGAAGGAGAAGGAGAAGGAGAAGGAGAAGGAGAAGGAGAAGGAACAATAAATCCCTCTAGGATCTTCAAGGGCTAATATTTTATAAGCATCAAGGAAGCCAACATTAGATTAAAATAATACCGTATTCCCAAATCATGCAACACAGAGAACTTTTGAATTCTGTCATCAGGTATGCATCATAACTTATAATATTCTCAATATTTAGACCCAAACCAGAGTGCTAAGCAGTGGGAAATCTTGAACAGCTCCCTGAATGGCCTGGATACTTGTCATTACCTCCTTTGATGTGTGTAAGACCAGGCACAATGCCCCGCAAGGGCTCTTGAAGCTTCCGGGGATTAGAACTCTAGGCAAGGCTAAGTGAGCGCTGAGCACAGCATTGCACAGCCCCTCACAGAGCAGCCTGAGAGAGAAATACATCCAGAGTCCTGGACTCCAGGCCTGGGAAATACAAGCTGTAGTCCTGTGGATCCTAGAAGTCCTCCTCTTTTCAGACTGGGCACCCAGACTGTAATTATACCAGCCTACCTGTCCTGAGGCATCTCCACATGCCCACCCTTCTCTATCCAAGCCTCAGTCCTTGGGGGCTTCCCAGAGTAGAGAAGGAGAACTTCGCTCAGACAGGAGCCAAGCAAAGAACAAACAGCATCAAGGCCATAGTGTTCTGTGCTCTGGGATGGCTCGCCCTCCCTCCCTCCTGCCCTCCCTTGCTCTCTCCCTCCGCCTCCCATCTTCTCCTTCCCTCCCTCCCTCAGGCCCTACCCCTCTCCTTTCACATTCTTTCTCCTCTGTCCCTTCTCCTCTCTGCTCTTTCCTTCCCCTAACCTTCTTTGAAATTTCTCTCAGAGTCTCCCTCACTCCATGCTCCTCTTCTCCCTCCCTTCGCTGCTCTTTTCCTTCTACTTCTGGCTTCAGGCTGGTGGGATCTGAAGGTTCTTACCTGCCTTCTCCACCCAACTTCCTCTCTTTGGGCCCTCACTGAGCCCTTCTCGGCTTCTAGGCCTGCCTCACTCTTGTCGCCTTCCCTCTTTCCTTCCTCTCTCCTCGGCTACCTCAGGCAGAAAATGCTCCCCATCTCTAGTCGCCTAAGCACTCACTCAGGATGGTGTCTGAATTCTCAGGTCCCTTCTGAAGTGCTGGGACTTCAGAGGGGTTGACTTCTGGGGCTTACTTTGGCTTAGTTTTATAATCCTTGGCTTGTTATGGATCTGAGATCCACTCAAAAGATAAAAGGGGGACAAAGGAAAGCAACACTCATTCCTTACACTCCTGGTTTTCCAACTTTTCCACTCAATTGTAGCACATGGCTTGGTCTAGGATTAAAGCACCTCAGGCGCTTCCAACCTGAGCCCTGGGCAGCTGAGCCTGAGCACCACGCCCCAAGAGAGAAGGCCTGCCTTGCACAGGAGCCCTATTTCCCAGACCGCGTCACCAGGTGTCCCCTCCCTTCCGTCCTGAGCAACCTTTCAGGGGTCACAAACCCCTGCACTTCAGGCGAGGAGACTCTCACCTCACAGGAGGAGGGTGAGTTCCTGACAGGGGAAGTGTCCCATGTGGGGACACCTTGGTGGCACCTTGCAGGTGGGAAAGGGATCTAGGGATGGGGGACAGAGGCAGGAGGGAAGGGGAATGCAAAGGACTGAGGTGTGGTAAGTTTGTGTCCACACTCTCCACGATAAATGGACTCAAGTCCTCCTGTATCACAAAACACACTAATGAAATAAATAAGCTCTGATTATTGGGAAATTAGGCAGGGCACCTGGCAGGAAGTAGTATAAACAAGGAGAATGTGATGCCTCCTTCAAATGCTTCACTCACCGCTGACTCAGAGACACCCAAGATGTCACCCAGCTTCGCATTCTGAGGTGATTATCAGCCAGAATGGCAAGTAGAAACTTATTTTAATAAGAAACAATAAAAAGCTGTGAACAGACACGTATGTCCACGATTAAGACATCAGAAGAGGAGAACGCATCTGCAGACAGAGGCGTGTGCGTGCCAGCCTGGCTCTGCCACAGCCAGCTGTGCGACACCCTCTCCCACCCTGGCTTCCTCGTTTGCAACCGTAAAACCGCAGCAGGTCATCTTTGAGCATCCTTCCAGCAATGATAATGGGCAAGTTTAAAATAAAAGGACAGATTAGAGTGCATGCGGAGCTGAAAGCCCTCGTCTTTCTCTAATTGAGGTCTTTATGTTGGGAAAGAGCCTCATCTGTGTGTAGCACAGGGAGGAGGCCAGGTGCAGAGGAGGGTCCTTGCCCTGCTGGAGAACTTGCTCTGACCTTTGCGCCCACCACTGACCTGCTCCTCCCGTGTCTCCCTTTCTAAAGCTGATTTTCTCAAATTTGTCTACCAACAAGTATGCAAAAACCATTCTATTGTTTGACATGTCAGGGACACGGCAGTGACTTAGACAGATGGAGTTCTAGGAAGAAAGACCAACAGTAATGATTAATTGTACTGTGGCTTAAACAGTATTATATGTTACCATTTATGTGGGTTAAAGCAAAGCTCACAGCATGACAGCAGGTGGGGAGACCCCTTGGGGAGGGCCCCTGTGGGCAGAAACCTACATAAAATGAAGACGCTGGCTACACAGATATCTCAATGAAGATTCCAACCTGAGTTCTGAGTTAGCCACAAGGCAGGAGACCTGGAATAGAGTGGATGAAGCAGAGAAGGCCAGGCAGCAAGCTAGTGAGGCCAGCAGGAGAGACTTGCAGGTCTTCTGAGGAAACCACTGGAAGATTCTGAGCAGGGGACTGACCGAATTTGCTTCTTTTTAAATAATGCCTTCTGAACAATGGAAGAGTCACTGTAGAAGGGCGAGTGGGAAAGTGAGGCGATAACTTAGTAGTCTTAAGCAATTGCAAATAGGAAGTAGGACAAAAGAAACCCACTTTCCCATAAGTGCCCCTGCCCAAGCAAGATGGCCTGCATAAAGCCACTTCAAAATGCCCCAGGCCCAGCCTCTGTACCCCGCTTCCAGGGCCATCTCATCTCCTGGGTCCCTACAGCTGGGAGGGTGCAGGTGGCTTGTGGTTCTTTGTGAAGATCCCATACTCTAGATTCAGGCCAGGTAAGAAAAGACAGCATTTAAGCCTAGAGTGGTGGCCACAACCATGACGAAGGAGGCCTAGACCTGTGATTTACTTTCAAGCAAGGCAGATAGCCTTTCCAAACATTGTTTGGAAATCAAGCTAAGGAAATGATAGGAGCCACCGAAGCCTACAGTATCCTCCACACAATCTCTAGAACACTGTCAAGTTTCAAAAGTTCTTCAGAGAGCATAAGAAATGGCTTTATGCTAAGGAATTGTGGCAATTTTCCAAATAATAAACTCTTGTATTTTCCAGATAGAAAGGTGAGGGCTGAGAGCAACAGGGCAGAGGAGAAAGAGTC